TATGGTTGGACTTATGGATACTTTTTAGTGCTAGGTTAATGTTGTTAATGATGATTTCATGTGTTTATTTATCTCCCCTGGTACAATGACTCTGTTCAACTGAGTTTATTGACTTCTTGAAGAACTCACCCCAAAACTATGATCTTTTTGTTAATACTTAAACTAAAGGCACATCTTAGAACAAACACAAAGTGAAGGTTATAGGAAAAATCATAATGTAGCAAGTTCTGAACAGTGTGGGATTTATTAGTCTAGCATCCCTAGCATTGTTCATACCTCATGTCTGGAGATGTAGCATTTTGACTGTGAATAATACAGGGTGGTAAAAATGAAAGAGCTTTTGCGCAAAAAGAAAGGAGATGAGGATAGAAAGTGAAGACATAAGTTAGTACTACTATATTTTGTCTGACAGCCTTTACTTGTAGGATGCATTCTCCTCTTCTGGATAATGTCTTCCTTGTTTCCAGACATTTTCACCCTGCTTCTTCAAAGCCCTGTGTATCTCCAAAGGTGTTGAAAAGTGGCTGTGTGCAGTTAGCACCTTGAGGTCCCCTTGCCTTACACTGTATGCTGCATTCTTCCTTGAGCAACACCTGCAGGAAACAAAGGTGGAAAAAAAGGCTTTGATATGGAAATCTCACATAATGCCTTTAAGTGAGGTGAGCCGTATCTGTTCTGTAAGGAGGTTTTTGGGGAAAAAAGCAGAAATTAACAAAAAACCCTAATCAAGCAATATTTTGAGTGGATGAGTTGTTCAAAGTGAAGAAGAACTTAAATGTTTTTTATGGTGAGATTATTGATATTACTTCTTAAAGATTAGCAAGCACTTTCTTAATAGGGATTGGCAAATTACGATATAGTTCTGTTGTCACCTAATGAAAAATGAAATTGATTTGCTAAAAGAGAGAGTATAACTTCTCTTTCCTATACAGAAGCCATGCAGCTTTAACCTGTACTGGAGAAGTTTGTATAATACTGTTTTTTTCATATATAGTTGAGAATTACAGTTAACTTAAAATCTTTCCTTGTAGCTGAGAGTTAAGGGTCCTATATGTTGTTGAATTAGTCAAGTAGGATTTGTATGGATAGTTTAGGGGATATTTTTATTTTTGACTAAAGAGTATTTGGATTTTGATTTTAAAAAACAACCTTTTTGCTGAAATTCATCAGCCATTTCTAACTAGAAGTTGACAAAATGTTGTTATCTACAACATTTCTCCTGGTTATGCAGTGATATGGCTGGATATCACATATGACTTGTGGAACATTATATGTGACTCGTTTGGCTGAATCAGGTTTTCTGGTAAAAACCTCACATCTGCAAAATTATCTCCCACAGCAGTTAGAAACTTCTGAGTATTGCTGCTTGAATGTCATGCAGTTTGTTGGCTGAATTTCTTACCAACCTTCTTTTTATTTAGTCTTAGACTATCCTGGGTATACTTTCAGCACTACCTTCACTTCTGTTCCTAAGGACTCCAACATGATACCTACCCATGTTATAACCCTTTCTCAAAAATACATGGAAACCCTCAGGGTTCAATTACCCCCTTTCTCTCTTCTGCTCCTTGTGGAGTGTGCTGTGCTCAGCAGTCATGATGGAAGAATGTGGGGAGGCAGGCTTTTCTCAGACAGTACTGTATATTACTAGGTCTCAGACCATCCATCACTTCTTGGTTATTCCTGAACTGGTGGGCTCCTGGTCAAAATTTCCATTCCTGGACAACAGGGTGCCTGGGATTTCTCAGCAAATCTGAAATCACTTGCAACACTTTGTTAATTTAAGGTAAAAGCAAGGTGAGATTATTTTACTTCGGAGTGAAAAGCTTAAGAGATAATCATCATTTGGAGAGACATAAAAGCAGAAGTAGAACCATACTTTAGAGCTGCTTGTATCTTAGTGTAGCTCCAAGATGTTGTCCCTCTCTGCTTCGTCTAACTAAAAAAGCTGCCAGGAGACTTAACACCGTGGAGATCCAGTCCTTAGGTGACACCCTTCCAGGTTAGATCCCTGCATGGGGGGGAGGATTGGTCACTGAGGAGAGAGTTTTGTCTGCAGAATCCTCTTGCTACCTGGCATTAATTTTCACAACTCTAATCTCTTCAGAGGTTTTCCTGCGGTACATAACCTCATGCTTAACCAGGACTCCAGACTTTTCCCTGAGGGTTGTTCACTGTTGCAGTCTGTATGGCTTTAAAAATTCTAAACTCCAGTGCTATCACCTGTCCAGACAATAAACAAAACTCTTTGCTAGATGTGAATACAAAGCCTGACAGCTGGTGTGATGTTTTATTTGGCCATAAACAAATCACTTAACCACCAGTCTGAACAGAATTTTTTGTTCAGATAGCTGTAGGGAAGGTTTTTCTCAGCACAAACCCCTTAAAAATGTAGATACTGAGAACTGCACTTCATAGAAAAAAGAACGCTGAAAACCATGCAAATATACAAGAGACACTAATGAATGCAGCTCATAAATAGCCCCTCCTAGAGGTGACTATTGCAGTAACTGAATAAAGATTGAGGGAGACAGCAGGAGTGATGCTGCAGCCTGGGTTAGTGGGGTTAGGGTAGAGGTTATAGCAGTGACAGTCCATTTCCCTTCTCTTAAAACAAACCCCGCCAAACCCCAAACAAATAAAACCAAATAAACCACCCACTTTCTTTTCTTTGTCTTTACTCACAAATTATATTCTTCCATGTAGACAAGAAGCTACTCTTCCATGCAGCTCATTCTTCAAGATTAGGATACAAAAACGTATGCCTAGGATACAAAAACGTATGCCTGCCTTTGAGTGCCTTGGCTTGCTGGGAAGGCAACTTTCTTTATTGACTAACGTTTTTTACTAGTTGAAACATCTACAGGACAGAGTCTCTTTGTATGGGGGCATAGGAAAACACTGACAAGTGATTTGGTAATCACAAAGGAAATTGATATTCTTGGGCTCTTTATTGTGACAGTGTATGGATAGTAAAAATTATAAGCTTACATGTTTATTGGAATTTATTTACATTTATTCAAACTTCTCTTACATTCAATTATTTTTTTATGCTATTTGCCTTGCCAAGCAGGTCAAAAATCTTATGGTTCTTTGTCCTTCACAAGTAGTACTTTCAGCATCTTTTAAAATGCAAACACCAGTTCACGCAAAAAGAAATCTACTTACAACTATTTTTATTTATTTATTATATTCTACAATGTAAAATACATGACATTCTGCATAGTATATTAATTCAGCTTTGTACAGTATGCTTTAAAAGGTGGTGCAGGGAGGTACAGGTTTACATCTAGTAGAATGAACCTTCCTGGGGTAGGTTTGTAGGTTTGTGTGCTTCTCGGTGGCATGTGCCTGGTGCTGGCTGAAATCCTGAACTGGTACTGTGATGCAGTGCTAACTGGTCACAGTGTGTGTCAACTAATGGAGCTGCTATGTACTGCACACTTGTGCACTGTGGCTCAGTTCTAAATGTGTGATGTGGCTGCTGTAGTTTTGATTATTAATGTGGCACATTTCGATTTTACACATAATGTGTTATCAGTACCAGCATTTTTTTCTCTAGGCATCTTTCAGACTGACCTCAGAGAACCCATTTCTAAAAACTTGTGCATCTTCTTTTGCACGTATACAATGAACCAAGATATCAATCACCTTTTATGCTGAGAGATACATTATACACATCATTAATAGCCCAATCGTGCCATATTTTATAGACATGCAAGATGCCATGATACATTCTGGCTGCACTTAGGTCTTCTAAGGAGCAAACAGCGCGTTCATGACAAAGGCGTAACAGATCTTATGCTGGAGTGAAGATAAGATTTGGGACCTAGCTGACAGGTCATCCATTCTCCAAGGGAAGAATGGTCTGGGTAACTGTCCCTCAACACTTAGTAGTGCTGGGATGTGGAGGTAATGCTGGATAACTGTCCCCTGCCACACAGTAGTGGGGTAATGCTGGACAGTCTATAAGCACTTTGAGGCAGGAGCTGTCTTTCTGGCCTGCAGATGTGCCGTATCTGGAATAAGGACATCCTCTTCCATGAGTGAGATGCCAAAGGACTACTGCAGTATCTGTAATAGCAACAAATGCTCCTGATCCTTCCTAGGACTCGGGGAATCCCAGCACTGTAGAAGTGTTTCTCTGGCTTCTGGGTTGGAAAAATGCCACCAGCTGCTGTCAAACTGGCATCTCTCACTTCTTTTTCAGGCCTAGAGGTATTTACAGCCCAGATATTTCCCTGGTAACACAGTCAGCTGGCGTTCAAAGCTAGAATGAGTGGAGAGTAATTAGCACCACTGAGTGCAGTCCAAACTTGCTAGCAACTCTACAGAGCAAAAACTCCTTCCCGAAAGGCTTTAGATGCACAGATCCCAAAATTATAGTGGAAATGGTAAGTGTCTAGCCTGTCAGTCAGACATGACAGCAGTGAGGAGCCCATGGCCATCTGCCTGGCTGGTATTTAGATGTAACCTACTGGTGAAGTGTCCCCACTCTTCGGGGATATTTTCCATGCGCAGAACACAACGTTCATGGGTGTGCCACAGCACTGGGTTTAACATGCCATCCTGCTGAGGATAAGAGCTGCCTGTGGAGAAAGTGTATCCCTTATCTTAAACTATGAACTAGTGTCATTAGAGAGTTTTGAGCCAAACCACAGAAGAGAAATTCCTTGAAAATGGCATCCCCAATTCAATTTTTAGCTTGGCTCTGTCTTGCACCTTAATCCCTGGCGTTTGAGTAGGGGTAAGTTTTGGATGCATGTTTAATCCATCTAGGGGGGTATTCAGAACTTTACTGGACAGGGCCCTTAGCAGGCTGGTGTCACTTTGGAGTTGGCCCTGCTGTGGGTCAGGTAGGTGGCAGCCAGAAGTCCCCTCCAACCGGTATTATCCTGTGATTCTGCGATGCTACCATTCTGTCTGCAAGTGTTAGAGCCATACACTTCAAATCAAGCTTGAAAATATTTCCAAGTCAGCGTTGCTTCTTACTCTTCCAGATACCCTCAGCTTTTTCAAACAGCAGCTGCATTGGAGGGAGAGATGGGAACAAAATCATATGGCTGTCAGAAAGGTTTCTCGGCGCTCTGTCAGCAAGGAGCGATGGGTGGAGACACTTGTAGTTGCAGACAGTAAGATGGTTGAATATCATGGAAGTGACCATGTGGAATCATATATCCTCACTATAATGAATATGGTATGTACAATACTTCCTTTTTTTAGATAGATGAATGAAGCAAATTTTAACTTGATTATGCCACTGATCACCTTGAAACAAGTCTGTAATATTGTTCACTGAAAGAAATGTAATATCATTCATATATATTCATTGAAACTCTGTATTTTAAAGCATTTTTTACCTTATATTTTGCATAGGTGTAATTTTTCTCTGGATTTTAAGCGAGAGAAGTTTCATAGCTATAAATGCTAACACTAATTTTATTTCCACTGAAATTCCCCATGTCTCCTGGAACCTGTTGCTCATCAGTTTGGTAGCTACAGCAACAGAGGGAAATTCTACAGTTTTAAGCATACGGATTTCTTCTCATGTCTGCGGATGAGAAAGGCACACAGGAGCCCACTGGAAATTGTAGTAACTTAGCAAGATCTAAAATATCAGTGCGTTACTGTTTTGGTCACAAATCCAAACAGTACCATATGAGCTATTATGAAGAAAGTTAACTCTGTCCCAGTTAAAAGCAGTACAACTGTTTTGCAGATAAGTATCCTGCCTATAATACAAAGTACATGATGAAAAAAAAAAAAATTTTAACTTTCAATGTCTTCCTGTGTGGCAAGTTTGAAAATGTAAGTTGACCTGGGAAAAGCAACAGTGTTTCATGAGACTGCCTACAGACATGTCTTCTGCTATTATCTGTATCATAGTAGATATTGACCTTGGAGAGTCTGTTGAGGATGTCTTCTATGTCGTTATCATGGTACGTGTGTAATGTATGTGAAATTAATCACAGTGCAATTCTAGCTATGGTAACCGATCTGTCCCTTATGTTTATACAGTGTGTTCCCACCTGTGCCCTGAGCAGTCTGACTCGCTACTGAGGCAGTGAGCCTGATTAAACAGACACAAAGCTGATTTGAGCACGTGAGATTTTGTCCACACAGGGAAAATATGGGGAATAAAACCCTGTCATGATCAGATTCAGGAATAAACAAACAATATTTTCTATGTGGTCTGTACCTGAGATATTAGGGTTACTAACAATGATTCAATTTTCAGTCTTGATACCTTGAAAAAGACCCATATCCAAATCAGACCTTTGTAAACACAATTTCAACTTCATTTTGGTAATTTCTTCTTTAATGGTCTTCTCCAAAACAGTTTTGTCCCAAACACAATCCGTTTTGTCCATTCATATTTCTTGTGATATGTGGCAGAGCTCACATACAGATACGTTATGACTATCTTCTGTTCTGATTCCCTTTCCTCCTGCTTAATTCAGCATTGTGATGATGTTTATGACATTTGGGTCAAATTTTTGCTGAGTTCAGTTCTTGCTCTTTTTTTATGTGGATTCTTTTTTTAATGGATTCATTGTCTTTGCTTTTGTTCTTATCATCCTCTTCTGTGCTGTGAAAACACAAGAGTATCCATCATTTAACTGATTTCTTTTTGCATAGTACTGACTGATTTTTGCTTTGTTGTGGCAGAAGGCAATTCCTATCAAATCAAAACAGAACAATTTGATATGCTGTTTTTTTTGCACCCTGAGTGGAACTCTCCATCAGTGTTACATGTCTCTAGATGTTGTGTTCTTTTCTGCTAGTGTTTTTTAAGAACTCTGAAGTTCTTGAAAGGGAAATGGACATAAAATCTTGTGTATGCTTTTTCTCTTTAGCTTATAACTTTTGCCAAATCCTGTATCATCACTCATTTGGCAGAGCTGCCCTTTGCAGTCATTCTAACATTTATTGCATTTCAGTAAACTTTCGATGAAGTGCATTGAGGATTTAAAAAACAAAACAACACCCCCACCCCAAGATGAACAGTGTGCTTGAAGTAAATGTCGTATTTTCTCTCTAAAGTCCTGTTCTGCTATAGAGGAATCAGTTAATCTCATACCTCCTGGCTCTGGCACAGGTCACAGGGTTGTTCCACGATCCAAGCATTGGCAATGCAATTCACATTGTGCTGGTCCGGCTCATCCTCTTTGAGGAGGAGGAGGTAAGGTTGTTATTTTCCTCAAAATGTCACTTATAAAACTTGGGAGTTCAATGCACTGAGCTATAATTATGGAGAGGAGGGTTTATTTGCATAAAAATGTGTTCATTTTACTCTTCTATTAATCTTTGGCATGTCTGTTTTTAGAATAAATGCTGCCCTGCATAGCAAAGTATTTAGCTGATGACTTCAGGTATTTCTGCATAAAATCACTAAGGAAAATGTAATTAAGACAGGCAAATTAGGAATGGGGAAATGGAATCTCCTCAGTGTCAAAAGACCATGGGATATCAAGGAAGACTAGATGAGAAACAGAAATCATGCATCGTGTCTCAGAATTTAATTACCTAGCATTATCTGAAATGTATTATAAAATGTAATGCTAGAGTATTTGTGGGTCTCTGAAGAAGTAAATCTGTTATTGTGCAGCTCAAACACACATTTTTCTTTTTAGATCTCTTTCAAAATGAAAAAATGAGGACTAAGTAAATGCTAATTGCTGTAAACTAGCTGTATATTGGTAGTTTCCAATGTGTCTCATTCACAAATATGTTGCTACATGCTTAATACATGCTGATTGTCATAATTTTATAGTTCTTTTTAAAACACTGTGCATGACATAGCTTGCTCTGACTGCAAGAAGACATTAAGGGGATTTTCTCAGTGGTTTATGATTTATAACCACAAGCCAGATGGTCCCAATGCTGTTGAAGGCAGTGAACCAAGCCATGCGGCCACGCTATGTCTTCTGAAATAATTAGTAGGATAGAGTCTATCCTTATAGCTCTCAGTGTAAGAATATGCAGGCCAAAAACTGTAGTTCGCATCTTAACAGGACAATTAGGACCTGAAGTCCATGGTGACCTCCAATTAAGTTTACTTGCTAAATTTCTGTGACTGTTTTGATAATAAACCATGGATTTCTGTTCAGTTGAGCATGGCAGTGTTGGAAGCAGCAGTGTTGGATATCTCTCAAAATTTGGCTTGAAGTTACCCAGAAATTACTATCTGGTAACAATGTTATTTAGATGCTTTGTAAAAGGTTTACTTTACTTAAATAGAGTAAACTGAGACAAGATACAATGAATGCCTCAGATCAGAAATGAGAAAATATGTTTCTGAATGAATTTATTTTGCATACTTTGTATTTGAGAAGAAATTTCAGTAACTTGCATGTATACTATATAATAATAAGATGAGGAAGAAACATCTGTGACCACATTGTTTCTCTTTGGAATTGAAAAATATTGTGAAAGAAATACACCCTTAGAAGCATAATTGTTCCCTGAGCATGATACTGTTCACATAACATTGAGTGACAAACTTGAGCATGAAGTCCCCCACTAATTAGTCTTTACCTTCTCTATAGAGGAAAACTTGCTTTCAAGAGAATATAAAATGTTTGTTTGAAAGTTTCAATTCAGTGTTGGATCTTGTGAAGGTCACCAAAAAATATGTACATTTCTGCATTTTATTTTTCCTTTAGCTGCACCAATTACAAAAATGTCAACATTTTAACTTAATATTCAATGTTAGATAAATAGATGTCATTGTTCCTAATGATGGCTCTAGCTTTAGGCAAAAGCATAATCAATTGCATTTCAAAGATTACCCAGCTTCACAGCTAAGGTCACTGACATGTTATTGCAATGCACTGTGGTCTTTACAATAGTATTTTCCTACATTTCCCATTAGCAAGGCTTGAAGATAGTTCACCACGCTGATAAGACACTAGCCAGCTTCTGCAAATGGCAGAAGAGTGTCAATCCCAAGAGTGACGTCAACCCTACGCACCATGACGTGGCCGTCCTTCTAACCAGGTATGACAGCAGTTCAGCGGCTGTGACTGGCTATTGTTTAGTTGTGGTTTTTTTGGTGATGATATTTTTTTATAGGCTCATGCCATCATTTACTTCATCCTGCATAGAACCCAGTAAAGTGGTCTGATGAAGTCGTGCTGTTTCTGAAGCACAGTGTTAATGCAAAAATAACCTAGTGTGAGCATGTCTGACACTCATACAGGCAGACAATATGAGCTATATTATAAAAATGTGGTTAAAATTAGACCTGCTGTAACTCTTAAAGGGATTGTTTTTCATTTGTTTTTGAAGTACATATAACACTTTATGTATGCATGTGGGTGTTTTATTAGAGATGCATCTTAGTCAGGAAATTGAGATCTGTATGTCCTGAGAGGTTAGCAATTTGCAGAGCTCAGGTAATTTCCCCCACTTGACCTTATCTCATTTTGTGCTCAGTCACTTCTCTATTCTTCTTTGAGGCAATATACCAAAACAATGTAACATGTAGATTAACAACTCCATAATGACAAATCCTAAAGTAATACACAGGTGCAGCTCAGAATGGAAGAGTATGTTGCAAACACAATACCATTTATTTTTAAGCTTTAAAGTGTATGATTTTTAAATATTATCTCCATATTTAAGGGGACACAAAATATTTTTTTACATATGAGCAAGGGAGGCACAGAAAACTTAAAGGTGATGTCTAGGGTTACACAGGGAGTTTGTGGCAGGCCATGAAACAGAACTCCTACGGGTCTGTAAAAATGGATCCAATCTGCACACAAATGAGAGAAAAAATTTGGTCTAAGGTCTGCAAAAAAAAGTCCTGAGTTAAAGTCTGTCAGAAAAAAACCCAACACAATCCCCCCCTCCTCAAGTGGTGCAGTAAAGGAAAGAGTCAACAAATCTTAAAATAAGAATGAGAAAAAGAACTCTTACAATAATGCATGGTTTGCCTCTCCAAATAAACAGGCTTCAAACAGTTCACTTGAATGAAGCTGAGGTATGGTGAGTTTAATAAACCATACCACAAAACGCTGTCAGAGGTGGAGGTTTTAAAACTTTTCCTTATGCAACTTGACAGTAAACATACATATTTAGGCACTGCAGCAACATAAATATTGGCTACAAATTATAGCAGTATAATATGATAGTAGCAGAACAAGTGCATATTTTTTACATATACGTTTGCAAAAATGTTAACACTATGCTTTGCTGAAAATGCAAATTAACACTGATACATTATAAGATGGAGACTTACGACCCCATGCAAGTACCACTCTACAGTTGGTTTTAAGCTCTTTTGTGCACGTCTCTTTTGTGATTCTAGAAAGGACATTTGTGCTGGCATGAATCGTCCATGTGAAACCTTAGGTTTGTCTCATCTGTCAGGCATGTGTCAACCTCACAGAAGCTGTAACATCAATGAAGATTCTGGCCTTCCGTTGGCTTTCACTATTGCTCATGAACTTGGACACAGGTATAGTTGAAAGTGAAGGGGGAACCTAGCTGAGTTTAATTTATTATTTGCATGTTAATACTCAAATTGTCAGACAGAAACAGGAAAAGGAATGAGTTAATGTCTCTATTATTAAAATCAAAACTGTGGTTTTTTTTCTAAGCAAAGGAATAAGAATGAGATTCTTAATCCTTTGAACTTTGTTTATATGTACAACTATTCAGTCTGCCCCTTCTAACAGAGTGCTGGGGCAGTACATCAGGATGAAATAATTAAGCTACAAAGAAGCATCACTTAATCATGCTGATATTTCCAAAGATACACTGAATTACTGTGCAATTACTTTAGGTGATCTCCAAATCAATCCAAATAGTTTACATAAAACATACCTGTTTTATTATATCAAGGTATTTCAATATTGCAGATTAGCCAGAAACCATTTTTAATTCAAGCAGTCAAACTTCACAGAAATATCAAATCTTTGTTCTCCTTTCTGACAAACAAATAAAGTAACTTTTGGGCATTTCTTAGTAACTGGCATCTTCTGTAATATTAATATTGCTATTGTGGATACACTTAGGTCAAATCAACTGAAGTTCCTGGGCATTTAGTTTTGGACACACCTAAACTTTTCTTATGATTGGGTATTTTTGCTTGAAACTAGATTTCTCAGTATTTCCAGTTTCTAAGGGTGTTTTGGCTGGTTATTTGGTTTATTAAACTCACCTGAAAAAAATCTGATTTTCAAATCTGTTTTGACACTGAGCTGTTTTCCCCAGCCTATCTCATGGATACTCTGGTTTGGTTATAATGCCTGCACTTTTCAGATGGACCATGTTGCTTGGCTAGGTGACATGTTCACTGTTGTATCTGCAGTCACATTACTTTCATTATGCACCCAACCACCAGTCAGGATGAATTCTGTATTTCCTGATGGGATATAATAATAATAATAATAATAATAATTTGATACAAAGATTACTCAAGTATTGATCCTATCACCCATTAATTGGCCTTTCTTTATTCAACCCCTCAATTGCCAGGAAGGAAATAGTATATGAAAATAATGCTGAATAATTACAATTGGATCTGGGTGCTTTGGGTTTAGTTACTTGTTTCCCACAACCTCTTGCTGACAGGGAGCTTTTTTTCATTAACACTAATTATCAGAAAACACTTCTTCTGCATAGAGCTGTGTGTGACCTTCTCCTGGTCTAGCCTGGGTGGCTGGTAACTCACTGTCCTTTGGATGCTGTGAGACAGAGTACTGCCATACTTGCCTTTGCAGGAGTGGCGCAGGGCCTTGCCTGTAAGAATTGTCTCCACAAAGAAAATTGAATACTGTAGGGTTTGTTGTTAACATGAAACCATCCTTCCCTCAAGCCAAGTTAGAGTACGTATGTTAAAAAGTTCAAGTATGGACAATAAATGTCTGTAAGAACAGATGAACAAAAAATGAGAAGAAAGCCATGCACCCATTCCTTAGATGAATGCCAAAAGTCAACTCTTCCCCATACTGTCCCTTTAGATGTTCACAGCCTCCTGTGTCAATAGACCTTGTTCATGGAAAAGAGCCTGTCAGCAAGGGGACACACTTGCTTTTATGCCTCAGACCCATTACTGGAGTTGATTCTGACTGAAATCGTGCCCTGCTTTTGGAACATTTGAGTCATGGTAAAATTACATTTTCCAGAAACAAAGTCTTAAGTGGTTTGAACTCACTTTGTCTGTTGTGTGACTGAATCACGACCTGAGTCAGTTTCCACTGCTCTTTCACACAAGGGCTTACACACCTTCAGATGTTAACAGTGTAGGTGTCGACATCTTCATATATCAATATCTTTGTACATTATTATTTCAGATAAACTCCTTCACAATGAGGTGAAGTGGAGGCATGTATGTTTAGTCAGTTGAATCCCACTCAAAGTTTTTTATGTTTATGACTTTTACAAGCTGTTGAATAAAGAAATTTCTTAATAAGCCAGAGAAGCTGGAGAGAACCATGTTGGGAAGATCTGCTATGGAGATCTTTTTGTAAGGCACAGTCTGAGAAAGCTAAATAGGAGGAAGAAGTGGAGGTTGGAGGCAAATTCACTGAACATTCAGTAATTTTGAAAACAATATCTGCCTTTCAATCTATCAAAAGAGATTTAAAAAGAAACAAGCAATAGGGATATGATCATGAGAGAGTGAAAGACAGAGTCTTACACTAAGCCTCATGTTAGTTAAAGTAATACAAGTCTGAAATAAGTGTGATCCAAGAGCTAGGAAGCTGTCTTAGCTTTAGCAGCTTTAATGTAACTTTGAAGTTTAAACTGTGACTCCTGGCCCAACTGTGCAATAGTGTTTTGACTCCCTTAAAAATACCCTTGAGTATAGTCTCTGACAGTCTGTTCTTTATTTTGTGCAGGACAATATCGCTGTACATAAAGGATATGTTTGGAAGCCTGTTGGAGTGTAGATTTTTTGTAGGTTTTGGGTCAGGTCTTCTATATTTTTTTTTTAGCAAACAGGTATCTACAGCCCACCAGGGGAGGAAGCAACCTTAGTGTCTTTTTAAGCACAGTGTGGAACCCATAGGTAGGTGTTGTGGTATAATCAATCAGCTGGAATTATTAAATGTTGTTTTTTATCTCCAGTTTTGGTATCCAGCATGATGGAAAAGAGAATGACTGTGAGCCTGTTGGAAAGCGCCCATATATTATGTCCCGACAGCTGCAATATGATCCTACTCCACTGACCTGGTCGCAGTGCAGCAAGGAATACATCACACGTTTCCTAGAGTGAGTGATCAGGTTGTAGCATTTCTCTGAAATGAGTACAACTGTGTATGAGATGTTTATGAGGAGTTTAAAGTAAATCCTGTATTATTATATTACTAAATGTAGGTCTTTGTAGTATGCTTGAGTTAATTCCCATGGAGGGGCATACGCCAAGCTTATTGCTCACTTAGTATTTGGGAAAAGCTCCATTATATTCTTGTTTTCTGGAAGTGAACTTGAGTCTTGTCATATTGGCTCAGGTTTGGTGCAACCTGCAGCTTTCTGCGGTTATCAGGAAGAAAGAAGCCTTTCCATCAAGGACTCTGATGGAACATCATAGACCTTGCCTTTGGCCACAATGACATGTGCTTGACTTCAATGACTTGTTCAAATTCGTTATGTTCTTTTTAAGAGCAGCAATATGGTATAACTTTAACCAGAGGCCGTGGAGTGCTCTGAAGCCATTCTGCAAACCGTAATGACCTCATGATGTTTCCACTTTGACAAGCTATATTTTGCCTTTGTAAACCCTCCCTTACTAGATGGAGTGCTGTTTGTTAGCAGCACTTCAGCATAACTTAGCTGGAATCTGGAAGTATTATTTCCAAAGGCCATATGCAAAATTACCATTAAGAATTAGATATTGAAAGTCTGTATAGAAGTGTCAAAGAAGTGTGGTTGTAGGGGTTTTTTTAATATGCAATTTTTGTCTTTTAGCCGCGGGTGGGGATTCTGTCTGGATGATATCCCCCAAAAAGAAGTTTTAAAGTCCCCAATCATTGCTCCTGGAGTGATTTATGACGTGCATCACCAGTGCCAGCTTCAGTATGGTTCCAATGCTACTTTCTGTGAAGATGTGGATGTAAGTGCTGTATGTTTTCCTTCATTCTCCTAATAAGAACGTAAGCTCCTTGAACAGTGTGGAAGTGCAGTCAGTGAACCTCAGTTGCTAACTACAAATGCAGCATGCTCAGAGTCTCATAGGCTAGATGCGCAGTGCAGGCATTGCCTAACACTCTTTTAATTCCGCTCTGCAGATTCCAGAAGTGAGGTGTTGCACTGTTTGCCTGGTATTTTGCAAGACCTCTTCTGGATCTGGCCTGATATCTATTGTTAAATGCCTGTCCTTCAGCAGTGGAGTCATTTTGGTTTTAAACTTATAATACTGATCTTAGGAAAATTATTAATGCAGCTTAAATCCCATTTTAAAAAATAAGATGCTTCAAGCTTATAGCTTTCAACTGACCAAATCATTCTGGGAACAAATCTTCAGTTCCAGGAAAAGTTTTCTGAAGAAATCAGGGTTGTGCTCTCTTCCCACATGTCCTGATTTTTCACACTCTTGGTGTTCTAACTAATTAAAGGAAATTTCAGTCCATATACCTTGAAGAATCTTTACTTTCCAATCAAACACCAGATTTTTATGTGGAAATGTGTAATTTACAAAGTACCCTGGGGTCTGTCTCACAGCACAGCAAAACAGTGTTGTGTGGAGATGTAAGGGAGTAGTGTAGTCACAGCAGCACAACTCTCTACAAGATCTATGAGCCACTGCAGAGTAACAGGTTATATTAGCTAAGGTGCAGTGGTATGGTATTTTAACTGTACCTAGCATGTTCAGAGCTATTTGACTCCATACAACATTTTTCTACATAGAACAGTTCAGAAGCAGTGGTTTCAAGTGCTAGTCTAGCTAAGTGATCACTAATTTTCGCTGTGTTTTGGGCAGAATTTATGCAGCAGACATTGCAAATAGCATCCAGCTTGCTTGCCCTGTTAAACACAGCTGTGGCAGAAGTGGTGTTATGGCTCTCAGAAGTGCTGGAGTGTTTTTTAGGCAAGGTATTATGCACAGCTGTGGACTGAGGACTGCTGATGTTGACTGTTTATTCCATTCAGATAATTATATGTATCCTCATCTACTGTTCTGTTAGGGAGATTATTTCTGATTAATCTTCTCAGCCTTAATAGATAACATGATTACCAATGTTGAACTGCAACTACTGAATCTGAAACAGGTATTGAAAGATTGCTTTCATTACCTGCTGTTCCAGTTTCCTCAGTAACTGTAATTTGTCTGTTGGTACAGACAGAAAATTAAAGTGTAATTTTGCAGTATTGGTTCATTCTATCCCTCCTTGGGTTTGAACCTAGTAGGCCTTTACATTCGACATCTCCTGATTAACCAATTTTACAGCTAGACATATGTCAGAAAATTAATTACTATCATCTCATTTTGAATTTTACTGGAAGGCCTGTGTTTTGCAGGTAGCTGCATTGGCAAAGAAAGGAATTGTGAATAGTATAGTCCGCCTGGCATGTTGAATGATCAGTATAGTCAGTTTGTCTAAGAGGTCTGGCTGTTCTTTGCCTTTCCACTATTTACTTAACACTCGCTCACTGACCAGGCTACATGTGTTCAGTAACTTTTAACGTCTGACTGAATTCAATCCACAGATTCTTTTTGGGGGAAGAATCTGCATTTAGATGAAGATGCCCCAGGGTTCAGTGATTACACTTAGCAAAGACTGAGGTTTATAATTCAGATAGTAGTTTCCATGAACCATTTAGGTAGTAAGTCCTCTAAGCATCTTGTAAAGTACATAATATTGTCCCTCTAATAAGGAAAAGAAAAGCAAAATATGGATTAGGGGGAGGAATTTTCCAAGTGGTAGGTAGATCCATAGCTTCCCATAGGACAGGATGTAGGAGCTCAGAATCCTTATATTATTACCCTCTCTTTATCTCCAAAACTTCCACTGACTTCAGTGAAACGGGGTTTCTTTGGACTCAACTTTCTTTAAGGCACAGACCCTGATCTCATAGATTGGGTGGAAAGTGTATACTGTATTGCTTATGATAAAATTACTTGCCTTGCAGTGAATCCATGGTACAGTAATGAATTTCTGGCTGCTACCTCCAAAAGCACACAGTAAACAGTGCTTTTTCTTGTACTGTTGTTATTACAGTATTCTTGAAGATGGAAAAAAGCTCTAGTACCTGGACATCAATATGGAAAAATTCTTGCAAAGCTAAAGAATTTCCTCCGTGAACTCTTGACTTTGAAATCTATAAGTACACCTCACAAAAAAGGAACTGTCAGTGGAAAGCTGTGTTCAGTTTCTGTGCCTTTCTCTGGTATCTGAAGCACAGTGCAGGAGTGCACTTTATACACGAAAAAACACAGAACATGTTCTATATACAAGAGTTAAAATAAAGGATGAATTTCATAATGAAAGAAAATTCATCAGCCAGAACACTTGGGTAGCTCTGCCTTAAGAACCTGACAATGATGGTTTCACAAAGAGTTGCTAAGTAATGCTACTCTTGAACTATAAATAAGGAACTGCAAAACAACCTTTGACTTGTATACATTGCCCAAAAGGAGCTAAATGAGCCAAGATGCAATGCCCCAGACATTGTATTCCAACAGGAGATTTGGAGTGCTTTGGGATGTTTTCTACTACCGACTTTCTTTCCAGTGTTCTAGATGAAAACCAAGGTGAACACACAATGCAGAAAGTAAATAAAAGGCAACTCTCTCAAAACAGACTGTGCCCAACCTTAGCTATTTTAAATAGAAGCAGGTCAGAAACCAGCAGCCAAGTTTTGCATTTCACACTCGGCCAAGTGTTGCTGCCAGCTCATTGGGGCTGGATTTTTGCAAGTGCCCAGTTTCTGTGTTGGGTCCCAAACCTGGCATGTTGTTTGCTCTGAGAATCCCAGTGGGAGCTGCTAGTGGGATCCTTCTTATCAGCTCCTTTCTCTGATGACACTTACAGCTGTCCCTCCTTCACGGTGCTGCCAGCTCTGTTCCCTCTCCCAGTGCTGAACTCTGCAGTTCAAACAGCCTCAGCCAAGACCTGGCCCAGAGCCCCTGGTTTTTCACTTCTGCTGTTCCAGTTGGGAATACACAGTCTCTCTGACACTCCCAGGTTCTCCAACTTGGAGTGGTCTTCCGCACAAAGCCCGGCTTGTTCAGGAATTCCCAAGCATGCAGGGCTACGGCCTGTCAACCAAAAGAGAAGCTGGTGTGCATGTGAACTGAGGAGGGGGCAATAGCCCTCAATGTCTGTCCTCAACCCTCTAGAAAATAGTTCTGATTGAGTGAACAAGACTTGTTATAAGGTGGCTGCAATGTTTATTGCCCTGCTAGCTTTGTTGACTCTCAGGAGTTTCTATCCCTTCTGTGGAGTTGACCACTGCACGTGGAGCAGCAGCTGAAACGCTGTGCTTTTCTGGCAACGTACTGCATTAAACTGGCACCAGTTTCCAAGTATCTTAATATGCAAGCATTCACTAACCAGAGTCCCTACTCTACCACTAGGCTTGTTCCTCTGCCAGCTAGCCTGGACTGCTTCTTTTAGATCATTCCCTTGCTGTCTGCTTGGCTGATGTTTTAAGAGACCTGTGTCTTGATCTCTTTTTCCTCATCCAGTTTTGGGGCCTCCTGGCTGTTGTACTTGGAGAACTTACCTGGCTGGCTTCTCTAACCTTCTTTGGTGTCACTGTATGTTTTCAGACAGACAGGAATGCAAGTAATTAACTTGATATAACGTATTCACTGTTTTGTATTTGTCAAATAGTCCCTCCTTGTCCACTAATGAGGAGTACCTAAATTTGGACCCTTGGTGGTCCTAATTTGTGGAAAACTCTGAACAGCTGCCTCTGGAAATATAGCCCTTATAAGGCTTTGTAAATGGATGTACAAAACCATGGGAGACTTCTGAAAATCTTGACCATAGGAGTTCACCTCTGCTTCAGACTGTTGCAGTTTTCTTTCTTTTCCAGAACCTTTGCCAAACACTCTGGTGCTCGGTGAAAGGCTCCTGCCGCTCCAAACTGGATGCAGCTGCGGATGGAACTCGGTGTGGAGAAAACAAGGTGACTGTGAGCTGTGCTGCCTGAAAGCTCTGCTGGGCACCCTGCAAAAGGACGGCGGAGGAACCATGGGTAGCTCTACCATTGTTTAGTGTGAAGGAGGGGCATCCTGTGACATCTCCATTTAAATTTCCACTTAAGTTTTCAACCTTCAGAGACTGAAATAACAAAAAATTCACAATAACATTTTCCTGCGACAATGACCTTAAGCTGTTTGTCCTTTCTCTTCTCTCTTCAGTGGTGCTTCTCTGGTGAGTGCATTACAGTAGGCAAGACTCCTGAAGCAATCCATGGCGGATGGGGCATTTGGTCATCCTGGTCCCATTGCACAAGGACATGTGGGGCAGGAGTTCAGAGCGCAGAGAGACCATGCGATAACCCAGAGTAAGCTGAGTGCACAATCTTTTCTTACCTTTTATTCAAGATCTTTGAGGTACTTATAACATTGGAAACTCTTTTGTATGAGACTGTTATCAGCAGGTGCCACAGCAAGACAGGCGCTGAACACCTCTTCTTTCCAGTTAAGCATACTTGTGTGAAATTCAGTTGGCTCACCTTTTACAGTCATCATCTCATTCTTTAATCCTTACCCTCCATGGAGCTTATTTCTACACAAAATGAAAAAAATCCTGTTATTTAGCATTCAGGCTTTGCAGAAATAATAGAAATGTTGCTTTAATAATACTGCCATGAATAAATAAACGTCCTCAAACACTGGGTGAGAACAATAGCTAGCAATCTGTTCCTGAGGGAAATCAAGGACTCTCCTTTCATGTTTTGTTCTAGTCATCAGCTTTGTTTAAGCTTCAGACACATGAGCTGATAGGTACAGAACATGAAAGGCAGAATTTTCTAATACATATCTGAGTTAATGAAGACCCTACATCTCATTTTCAGAAATCACTAAGAGGGTGCCTAACAGCAGAACTCACTTGGCTTTTCTGGAAAAACTGTCAAACATTCTGGAAAATATGGTATTTTGGGGGAGTTCATTTGATAAGGTAATTGGTTGTGAGCTCAGCTGGGCAATGTACCAAGCACTTATTTGGGATACAGGGATTGTCTAGATCTCTGTGCTCCATACTGACATGTTTGGGTACTTGAATATGTGAACAGTATCTCTACCCTGCCAAGGATTCAGATTCACCTTGTTATCCCATTGGAACCTGAAAGACATTGCTCTTTTAAAACTATTTTTTACCCAAAATCTCATGTCCCAGTCTCAATGTTCCTTTTCTAGACCACAATTTGGAGGAGACTACTGCACTGGAGAAAGGAAACGCTATCGAATGTGTAACATTAGCCCCTGTCGCAAAGGCTTGCCAACCTTTCGTCAAATGCAGTGCAGTGAATTTGATACAGTTCCCTACCAGAATGAATTCTACCACTGGGTTCCTGTCTATAACACAGGTACGAAGCTACAGATTTTTTAATATCTTGTATAAAAAGTCAAATTTACATTTCTCATTTAAATGAGAAACCTCTATGAGGGCAAGAAGTCATTGAATTGTATGTTTTTAATTAATTAGAGAGAAAAATCTGGTGTTTGTCCATATGCAGGTGTGCCTTTTGTGTGTACACAAAGGCAGTGGTTCTCCTCTCCACACAGAAGTTTTTGCAAAGCTCTGGTGATAATGGTTGTGAGTGTAACTAGCCCAGTTCCTGGGAAGATATTACACTAAGAAAAGCTGTTGAAGTCACATCTATACTAAATGTTTGGGATAGACCTAAACCATCTTTTCCAGTGCCAACCGCAAAACAAGAAGTAGAGTAGTACAGTGTAGAGCTGCATGTTTGGGCCTGCAGGCACCACTGCACCCAATAAGCAGAGCTGTTCTGCTGCACAAATGTGGCTTTACTACTTCCAAACTCAGATCTGCATGGTAGGTGTACCTGGTAGGAAGTAATACCTCAACAGGTTCAGTATTGTACTGCCTTGTATTGTGGAGACAGAATCGATGCCTCTGCCTTATAACTTGCTTTGTAACAGCCAGTTACTAAACACAGGAGTAATAGTTGTTACCGTGTGTTTTAATTCTTGGTGTATGCATAAATGTAAGGTGTAGATTATCCAGTAGAAGCTAGCAATATAATTTTTTTATGAAAAAACAAAACCAGCTAGGGAAGTGAAGCTCAAGATTCAACTTTCAATTTTGTTTGCCAATAGTATTTTTCAGCATGTTCATTGCATTTTCACAGTTAGTGGCAGTTCTGAATAGGTTTCCTAAATTTCAGCTACTGTTTCAATTTCATCTAACAAATACACGATTGAAGATGAACCTGGAGCAGACAGACTTCCACGAAAATTTCTGATGAAAGAAAATACGGTTGATAGAAAAAGACTTTTTCAGAAGGACTCTCAGTAAAACAAACCATGGTAAATGCTAACAGCCTAAGGTTAGTCCAAAGCCAAACTCATAAACCATTTTCTCCAGTCACCTGTCACTGAAATTGGGATTCCAGTCCTCTCTGTTACTCACATGTACCACTGCAGGCTACAGCCTTGGTTCTGTTCATGTCCTCTCTAGGGCAGTGCTACAGAACTGGTAGTTCTGCACATGCATTTGTTGCAGAAGGCCTGCTTTTAAAGGGCATTAAGAATCATGAATCAAATGCTTCCTGCACACTGGAAGGCAGGTCTATGGTGTGTCCATGCCGTATTTCAAATACAGCTGATTGGATCTTTACAGACAAACCACTTCTCTTTAAAATGCTGCATTGTTGAGACTGATATATTTTGTCTGGAAGATCCTGGGTTTCAGTGACCTTTTGCAAAATCCTTCAAATACCAAGGAAATATTTTTTTCTGTGGCTTAAAAAGCTTTTTGACTGTTTTCACCTGTTTTCTCAGCAGCTAGCATTTCAGTCTAGAGTTAGATGTCTCCCCCATGACCTGTGAGGTCCTTAATGTCTGCAACTTCATTCTTACATTCCATTAATAGCATTTGAAGTGTTTTCTTGCTGCTAAACTCTAACTTACAAAAATCCTGGCTTCCTCAGATAGGCAGGCCTTCCTGGGAACTCTCATCTAAGCAGGGAGTTTGCCAAATCCTGTGCTGATCCTTCACCTAACATCATCATTGTATGACTGAGGGTGGGTGACTATCATGGGCACACTGCTTCCAGTTTTGTCCAGCCAGAGTTACCTACTGCACTGAAATACATCTGAGAGTTTTCCTCCCATCTCAGTTTCAAATTTTCTTTCACCTTCCATTGAGTGCTAAAGGAGTCCTGGGCAAAATAACTTCAAACAGGGTCATGAAACAGTGCTCTCTGTGAGATGGAGCAGTTTGAGCCTTTCTTGTGAGTGTTTGCCCTAAACAAACCAAGACTTTAAACAAAAGCAAACCAACAGCCTCTCCTAAACCCCACACAAAAAAGAGTTGATGTTTCAGAGCTCTGATGACTTAATCACCATGTCTACCATATGTACATCAATCTTTGTCAGTGTACACCAGCTTCCCTTACTTTTCCCCATAACTGGTGCAATCCAATTTCAAAGACTTTTCACAGCCCTCTGTTACTACTTCAGCTTGCTGCTGAGAAGGTTTTGACTTGTGTGGTGCGTTGACCCTGGCTGGACGCCAGGTGCCCACCAAAACCACTCTATCACTTCCCTCCTTGTCAGAACAGGGGAGAGAAAATATAACGGAAGGCTCATGGGTCAAGGTAAGGACAGGGAGAGATCATTCACCAATTACCATTATGGGCAAAAGACTGAATTTGGGGAAAATTAATTTAATTTATTACCAATCAAATCAGAGTAGGATAATGAGAAATAAAACCAGATCTTAAAACACCTTCCCCCCACTCCTCCCTTCTTCCTGGGCTTAACTTCATTCCCAATTTTCTCTACCTCCTCCCCTGCAGTGGCACAGGGGGACGGGGAATGGGGATTGTGGTCAGTTCATCACGCATTGTCTCTGCCGCTCCTTCCTCTTCAGGGGGAGGACTCCTCACACTCTTCCCCTGCTCCAGCGTGGGGTACCTCCCATGGGAGACAGTTCTCCATGAACTTCTCCAACGTGGGTCCTTCCCAGGAGCTGCAGTTCTTCACAAACTGCTCCAGAGTGGATCCTTTCCAAGGGGTGCAGTCCTTCAGGAACAGACTGCTCCAGGGTGGGTCCTCCACAGGGTCACAAGTCCTGCCAGCAAACCTGCTCCAGCGTGGGCTCCTCTTTCCACGGGTCCACAGGTCCTGCCAGGAGCCTGCTGCAGCACGGGCTTCACATGGGGTCACAGCCTCCTTCAGGTGCATCCATCTGCTCCAGCGTGGGGTCCTCTGTGGGCAGCAGTTGGATATCTGCTCCACCGTGGACCTCCATGGGCTGCAGGGGGACAGCCTGCCTCACCATGGTCTTCACCACGGGCTGCAGGGGAATCTCTGCTCCAGCACCTGGAGCACCTCCTCCCCCTCCTTCTTCACTGCCCTTGGTGTCTGCAGAATTGTTTCTCTCACATTCTCACTCCTCTCTCTGGCTGCAGTCGCTGTTGTGGAGCAACTTTTTCCCCTTCTTAAATATGTTACCACAGAGGCACTACCACCATTGCTGATGGGCTCGGCCTTGGCCAGCAGCAGGTCTGTCTTGGAGCCAGCTGGCACTGGCTCCATTGGACTTCCAAGCTTCTAGCAGCTTCTCACAGAAGTCACCCCTGTAGCCCTCACCGCTACCAAAACCTTGTCATGCAAACCCAATACAGCTTGTGGTTTATTATCAGGCATTTTAAATCCTCTCATGCTGCACATGGGATATAAGCAGAAAAGAAAATATCATGAAACTTTCCCAAAGCCTCAGTGCACATAACAGTTTTTGTGTGGAAGCGTCTAGCTGAGGACATGAAACCCTGAGCCAGACATTTTGTGACATTTTAGACATTCCGTGTTCCTTCATCCTGCTGGAAAAACAGTAAATTATATAGATGGTCACAATTCTCTCTCCCGGCTTTAATTTCATAGCTTACATAAGCCAGTTCTAATGAATGTCACATAATTAAACACTGTCATAATGTCCTTTTCTGTTGTGTAAATTGCACCTTCACAAGAGGACAAAGACTCTTTTTTGAATAGCTTATGATTTAATATAAGGTGAGATGCAACAAGCAGCTTTAACAAGCAACGTGGCAGAAAAGCAGTGAATGACATCTTGCTGTTACCTAGCCTAACTATATTTAAGGTTCCAACTGAGATTTTTCCCTTCTGTTTTAAATGAGTTTGGGTCTGTTGGGGGACTTGCATAGTCCTGTTCTGGATTTGCCCTGGAGCACAGAAACCCCACGTGCTCAAGCTGGAGCACCTGAGTATCCCTGGGAGTCTCAACATGAAGGGGACCTCCAGGTTCAAGGGTGGTTAAAGCATCCAGCAGCTCTGACAAGGTTATTTTCTGAATTGATTTCATGACCCAGGCCCCTACTTTGACACTTTAGTCAGACTTCAGTGCTAATCTACTTCTTGCCATCAGGCTGACCCCACATTTATTTATTTCATACCTTCTGACAAATTACATTTATCTGAATCTGATAGCTTCTCAGGGCTTAACTTCCATGTAGTAAGCATGAGTCCTACACTGAATCATATAAATACCTTTCTTTTCTCAGTCAGTGCCAGGATCATCTCATGTACTGGCAGATAGGGGTTATGCTGCTAAAGTGTTTTAAATTTCATATTTCTTCCAAAATAAGGCTGTGTATCAAGTAAGATCTGTACTGATACGGTCACAGGGGCTGAGCTAACAGCATGAGATCATGTTTCTGCTGCTACTGCTTTGAAATTAAACTTTCTTTTGGACTTTCAAGCTTGGTTAAAGTGATAAAGTAGCTTCACCTCAGACTTTTTTCCCCTTTATGTCTGTGTTTGGTAATTGTCTTTTCTAATTTTCTTTGTTTTTGATTTCCTCATCCAATTCTGAGTTCTCACAGAGCTGAGGTTTTGAAGAAGCCCACCTCTTTTCTTCCTTGTGAAGTAGGAAAAAATATTGAAGCCTTATCTTCTGCTGGCAGGCACATTAATCACATCCTTCTCAGTCGGGTTAAGCTGGATCCTTCCTGCATGTGAACTCATGGGAGTCAGCTGCGAGGGCAACAAATTTAAATTAGGAAGGGAATATGTTCCTTTCTAGTTGTCTTCATGTTGTTCTGTTTACACTTGGTGAATCTGAACTTCATTATAATATACACAGGGGAAAAAAATCACATGCCTGAATTTTAGAATTCTTACTCAGCTTTGCTGGCTTGCTTCCTCAGTCCCATTCTGATTACAAATAAGTCACTGGGTGCTTATGGGAGCTCTGTGACTTGGGATTCCATTACATCTGGGTTTCTTCTATGTATTAGAGGATTGATCTTGTCCCTGTTCAGATCAGCAGCATAATCTTGGTGCAGGATATGGGCACTATGGATAAAAAACAGGATGT